CTCTCACTCTCTCTTCTCTCTCACTCTCACTCTCTTTTCATTTCAGTTTTTCCCATTCCTTCCTTCCTCGTTAGACAATATTACTTTTCTCAAGTATTTTACATACTGCCACTTTTCTTTTCAGAGGTCTTGCCATTATACTTGATTTTTAAAGTGTGTCACCCAGTTATACAAATGACACCTTATTATCCCACACAATCCTCAGGTAATTGTTTGCTTGTTTCTTGCCATTTTTGCTTGTCTGTATCATTTATTACTACTAATGTCTACTGTGATACAACAAAATAAGGGTGGGGACAGTAGACTGAATTTTGAGATCTGATGGTGGAATAAAATGCAAAAGTATGTAGGGCAGTTTTACTCTATATATAACTTTACATTTCCTTCTGCAGAGAAGGCCTGTCATCTGAGGAATTTGCTATTTTAGAAAAGGGTTAGACTTTGTGATTAGACAGGTGGAGCACTTTCCAGTATGTCACTTCCAGAAATCATAAGTCTGGTCTACGTCATTGCAATGTGTACCATGTAAGTTTTTTTTTATTTATTTATAATTCATATTCAACTAGACAGGAAAAATGGATGTCATTTGTTTTTATTTGACTAATTTTTACCCAGTGTTAAAGATAGATAAAGGTATCATATTAAGGTTGCTATTAACTCCTACAAAGTTCATAACTGTAGTCATAATTGGTTCCATAACCATGAATACCTCCTTTTCTGCAATTTAATGTTTATTTTAACAAGTATTCAGTGAGTTTCTTATTACCAAACACAATTTGATTAAAGAATGAAATAGAATTGACTTCCACCATGGTGTCCATGAAGTATTCTATCCTAATTTAATACTTACGGAACCTAAATGTAATAGTAATTACTATGACTATTCCTTAAAATTTCCACAATTCACTAATTCAGAACCAACAAGTTAAGTATAGCTTTAGAATCTGAAAAGAGAAAACAGAGCAAAGAAAGAAGCTTTTGTAGGAGAAACTGTTGGGTGTACGTGAATGTCTTGCAGAGGCTGACAAAGTAGTTACAACTGTGAATCATGCCTCCACCCCTATACACTGTTTTTCAATTGCCAAACAAAATCTCTGAGTTTCTAGTGCTGATTTATAAATGCATTAGGAATAAGTATCATTAATGGAGTGGTTTTATCTTTGGCACCAATAATGATGTCTTGTTTCCTTGTATATGTAAGGGTTTATGTTTGTAATTGTATGTATATATGTCATATTCTGGTGTAAATAATGATTACAGCTTGCAATGTTTTGTATTTCTGGGAAGTTATTAAATATATACAGAATATTATTCTTTTATTTCCTAATCAGTAATATGGATATCAAGCAAGTAAATTCCATCATGGATTTTTCATACCTACCTTTTCCTACTGTACCATGGATACTGTATTCCCCCATTTAGTTATCTACCCCATACACCTCATGGGGGCACCTACTTTAGTGGTATTCTTTGCTCTGCCCCTCCCCCTTTTTCCCAGGTTATTTCTGCATCTTCCCCAATATCTTTTTCTCCTCTTTATGTTCCCACTTCTACCCCTTCCCTCAGTCAAATTCTTTTGCCATTCTAAATCCAAACACTCCAATCTCTATTTCCCCATGCTTACCCCTCTTTCTTGCTGTACCTGTCAAATCATACAATCTAAATGTTCCACCCCATCTTTTCCTACTGCGTTCTCTTGTACATCTACCTCTTACTCTGCCCCCAAAATGCCTGTCCCTTCCCCTTATTAGAAAACCTTGTTTTTCATGCCTCCCCATTCAACTCCATTTTAGAAATTGAGGATATTCAAAGCTATTTAATCATGGTCCAAAATAACATACCTATACCATATCTTATGGGACCTGCAGCCAGCCACCCCTCACTATATGAGGCATAGTCGGAGGAAGTGGCAAAGGTAGCGTCCACCCGGAGTGACTGCCCGAGGCTTAACCTCATGAAGGATTTCAGAGTAGGGTCTTGGAATGTCTGCTCTTTACGACAGGATGATCGTTTGCCATTCCTGACGAGAGAACTGGGGCAGCTGAGAGTTGAGGGGGCTGTTCTCTCTGAGGTGAGAAGATCAGTTTGGGTGGCTACACCTATTACTGGTTGGGCCGCAGTGATGGTCACCATCTTCAGGGAGTAGCCATAGCCATCTCCAGCAGACTCCAGTCCTCGGTAGTAGAAGCTACGTATAATGATATTGAGATTGAAGCTTGCATTTGGCTTATATCTCTTATGACCATATACACTTCTATTGATTTGTGCGCTAACTTGACGTGAAAGAGATGATTTACGCCAAACTCGCATCTGTGACGGCCAGTTGTCCTCGGCGAGATATTCTTATTATTCTGGGTGACTTCAATGCAGTATCTGCCTGCGATCAAGCGGCTATGAGATGTCTGTTGGTCCTCATGACTCAGGAGCTGGTGCCAGCAGCCCAGAAAGTGAGGATTTCTGGCTCTTGGTACCAGCGCTCTAACCCACATCATCGGACGTGGTAGCAATGCGGGTAATGCCAAGGAGATCGACCACATCTTTGTTAGCACTTATTGGACGATGTTCCAGAACTGGAGGGTGTATACATTTCTTAGTAAATGATCTTTGCCATACCTACAAAGCCCTGAGAATGTTGAACTCCAAGCCCTCCTCACAGGCGACTGCAATCCACTCGGTAAGTGGCCAGAGTGTTAGGTAGTTGTACTAGCTTGATCCACCAACAGTTAACTTGGATGCAGCTAGTGTAGAAATTCCTTTGCTGTACCCACTCATCAGTTAAAATCCACCCTCTCTACTGTAGTTAGGAACGCGATCTCCAAGCTGAAGAGTGAACTATTAAAGGATAATGGTTGTAAACAATATCTTTCTACACATCCGTCAGTGCTGTAACAAAAGCTGTACCTTCCTGTCTCTATATGTCTAGAGGAAGTCACTGCTTCGCACCTTCCAGACACAAGCCTAGATGTCCTAAGATGATCTACATCTCCCCTTCGAGCAAGCCCTGTAAACTCACCCCCCCTCTGTCACTCCTGAAACAAACATCTGGAGTCTGCATAAAAGGATGTGTTCATCAAACAAGACAAGGAGAGAGAGACGGCAACCAGATGACACATGGGGTTTATTCGTCACCACTCCACCCTCAGCACCCGGGGAGACGGATCTTCTGTTAGGACCTCAGTCTGCCTTTCATAATAAAACCACAAAGACCTCTTTTATTTTCTTGCGTTAAGACCACCCTCTCTCGTTTGCATATGATGGCACCGGTACTCACAACCTCTCTTGTTTATATCTGGTAGGTAGCGATGGGCGAACTTCACAACGCTGACCCACTCTCGTTCACAGTGGTGAATCTAAGAGTGGGGTTTGCATGCTGTCCTGGCTGCCATCAGGCAGTCTGGTACCATTTCTCCCGACCTGTTGAGAGGAAAAGGAATCAATGGGACTGCAGCAATCGCTGAGGCATTACACTGCTTGGTATACCAGGCAAGGTTCTCGCTCTCATCCTTTTGAGGTGTATCAGAGACTACCTACAGAGGCCAGAGCAATCCTGAGTCACTCCTGGTAAGTTCACAATAGACCGTATCCTGGCGCTTCGAGTCATTGTAGAGCCCCATCGTGAGTTGGGCCAAGGTTGCTTGCAGCTTACATCGACTTCAAGAAGGTATTTAGGAAGATCAGGGATCAGCCCTGAGATAGAGAGGAATTCCAACAAGGATTAATAGTAATTCTGTATACAGATAGTAAAAGTGTTGCAAAGTGTGGCAGGGGCTTATCGAGCTTCTTTGCTGTTAGGTGAGTGAGGCAAGGCCGTGTCATAGCAACACTTTTCAACATTTGCATTGACAAAGCTGGGCAGTGCTACTGTCCAAAGCCATTGTGGAGCAACTCTGGGTAATATCAAGGTTACTGACCTTGACTTTACTGATGTTGCTATTCTGATTTTATTTTTTATTTTATTTTATTTATTTTTTTTTTTTTGAAAAATGAAGCAAAACCCCTAGATCAAGAGGTCTCTTAAACCAATATCCAGGACTTTGGGGGCAAGTTAGGTGAACCTGTTCAGTCAGTAAGTGCTTGCTGAGAGCTTTGGAGATGCCAGTGCCTGTGCAGAAGGACCAAGTTACGTGTCTTCTAGCCCCTTGTGATGTAGTTGGGGGGTGGGGGTATGGTTGGTGGAGAATGAAAGGGGTCTTGGCTTGTTGGTGTATTGGGGAAGGTAAGGCGTGACCTCTGAGAGTGACCCTGTGCCCCGAGTGCCGAGGGCGGAGGGTGACCTGTCCTGTGACTCCTGTCTACTGTCTACAGCTGGGTCTGGTCTCCCCTTCTGCTTTTCAAGACGTCCATATATTCTGCAACTGCTCTCCTGCTGCCGGGTACCTGTTTCTAATTTGTGGGGTGCCGGACTTCTGGCCGTGACAAAAGGGTGGGTTCGCCGGACATGCTCGAGGCAGAGAAAGTGTTTGGGCAAACGAAGCCAGGAAGGAAGGCAGTTGCAAGGTGCGAAGCCCAACCCATCCGGTTTGAGCATATTGTTGACATTGCTCGGCCACGCAAAGTGGCTTGTCCTCGAGCCGTCTGCAACGTTGTATGCACTGATGACGCGTCTGGTGGCAAGCTCCCAATATGCTTCTACAGATGGTTGTTGGTGCTCCATGGTCCCTTGGGTCGTCGTGTGTCAGAGTAGCAGCGTGGCAGAGGTTCACAGTGAAGTGCAACATTCAGTAGGTAATTTTACTTAGTACCTTACTAAGATGCCAGAAAATGAAAGTAATAATATTTCTTATGAGAAGGCAACATGTCATGAGTTGTTAATTACTCAGGATCTGTTAGGATTAGTGAGTTCAAAAGAGTACCATTATTTTGTATGTAGCGTGGTTAAAGTGTGGGGGCACCGACACTCACCCTACTACAGGAGCTGACGAGTGATCCTCGGACCGTAGAGATGTGGGCATGAGCACAGGGAAAAGCCGTCCATTTCTACCTCCTACAGGAGTGGACACAAAAACTGTTCATGTGCATGGCTTTATTTACGAAAAGCACTACTGGTACTACAGCCTCGACAACACAACTGCGGCAAGGGCAATCACTGGTAAACAACGGTAGTGTCACAGTATATCACAAGATATCACAGCACGCGAAAATCAGGAAATCAGGAGTCTTCCCTGGCCCACACACACCTCTCAACAGTCAAGGTCACCCGCCAACTGCCCTCTGTGGCGACTCCACGGTGCGTCACGGCAGGGGTTGCCAATTACCCGAATTGTAAGAGGTTTGAGTGTTGGTTAAATGCACTCCTTTCGGACCCAAAACTTACAAAATAATCTTCTGGAGGTGGGGCGTTTAAAAAATGAGCAAGGGTTTGCCAAAAGGGCGTTAGAAAAGGCATTATAAATAAAAGTGACCATCCCAAGTGGGCAACACGACCACCCGTTCGCATACACGAATCCATGAGTACGGGGCGCGTTCGTGTAACAACAATACGTAACTCTACATGTAGAAAGTGAGTGAGAATTCCATATCTTCGAGCTAAATAGGCTATTTATTATGCTTCGGACAAATGTGGGCAGCTTGGCCTCAACTTAAAAGTAAACGTGAGCGTCTCGGCGCTGTAAAAAAAAAAAAAAAAAAAAAAAAAAAAAAAAAAAAATGTAAGGGCGGCGGCGGCGCGCGATTTGGAGGCAGCTTGACCTCAGCAAGTAACGTGCACATCTCGGGCGCAGTGTGACGTAAGTGGGAGTAAGCAATGTGCGGCAAGGTATACTTCGTAGGCAGCTTGGCCTGCAAGAAGTAAACATACGCATCTCAGGCGCAGTAAGACGTAAGTGCGAGTAACAACATTCGGCGGGCGATATCCTTTGTAATAGATGCAATGGTGTCGGCGCGATTTCTTCGTAGTAGACATATCAGCTTAAAGCTAAATTGCGGTGATAACTATGTAAGCCTATATAAAGCATGGCGATTCCATCAAGTTAGTTACAAGGTACGTATTCACCAGTACCTTAAAACTAAAGAAGCATAAATTCCAGCAGTACTAACTACAAGATATGGAATATTGAGAGCAGGCGTCATTAAAGCGAGTTAGAATCAGTTATAAAATGTATGGTATTAGTACAAATAATCCTAGAGTGAATTCGTGTCGAGCGATCAAATAGGTAAGTAAAGGGTCGAGATGTATGTATGAATAAGCGAACAATTACCACGGCAAGAAAAGGGAAAGTGATTTTCAAAATACACCATATGTATAAATTGACAGAATGAAAGTGCAAACGCAAGCAGGAACGAAGGAACTACTAATAAAACAATTATCA